TTATATATTTAATAATGTAATATTTTATTATAAAATAAATTTAATTAAATTTAATAATAGAAATAAATATAAACTTAAACTTTTAGTCTAGAAAAAACCTATAGAAAAAAAAGCCTTAAATAAATATAATAAAATTGGTTTCAGGCTTTATTTTCATTTATTATACTGTATACATAAAAGGTACTAGTTACATTAAATATTGAAACAGTATTTTAGATAATATATACTTACATATACAAACACAGATGCAATAGTCAAGTTATCACACATATTTAAGGTGTAAAAAATAGGCAATACATAACAATACATGACAAACAGAGTCATATAAACCAATTAAATGCTAAGAATCATATACAGGCACATTACTTGTTTGTAAATCATACATTACATACTTTATACTCCATTTCTGATATATATATTTATCTATTAAATATCATTTAGCTAAATTGGTACTCCATTCCTAGTATATACATTTATCTATTAAATATCATTTAGCTAAATTGGTTAAATTTGTATATAACAATAATTCAGTACAATCCATATGATCAAATCTATTTTTGTATCATAATAATTATTTAAAGATCATTACAATGATAAATAACAAAAAATAGTATTGGTCAAATGGTCAGTTTGGTTAGTCAGAATTTGTAACCAAACTTGTATTAGTCATGGTTATGACTAAACCATTAACATCTCTAGTTACACAATTAAAAATTCAGACAATCTGCTCAAATTTAGGATTGGAAATAAACTAAAGTTAAACTGGCATTAAGCAAGAATACTAGCCCACTATATTATAGCAAAATTATTATTTGGGCACCTTTACTTAGTACATGGACTGCTAGTTTATTAGTAAGACTTCAAATGATTTTAAAAAAAATTGATTAATTTTGCTTATTTTGACCAAAATTTTGGCTAATCTGTTAAATTTTGGTTGCATTACTAATTTATTCAGACTATTGAAGCTTTCTACAGTATTATTAGAATGTAATATTTTTGGTATTTTATATAAAAAATATAGATTGTTATCTTTAAGTTGCCTATCATATTATTGAATCAAGTTTTATTTACAGTTTAAACAAATACAAAAATCATGATTTCACTTATACATATATCATTAATTAATTTATATAATGCACAATACTTTGAAATAGATTGCACAGAATAATTGACATTCGTTATTACATCATATAGCTACTTTAATTATATATAGCAAAAATCTCAACAGGACAAAGGCCTGCTAATAGGCATGAGGCTAACTTATCATAGTTATTCATTATATATTTGTTATAATAAATAATAATTTTAGTAATGAATGTTATTCTAACCAAGCAGTTAACTATTAATTTCTCTAACCTTCATGCTAATATATATTCAATATTCTTACCTATAGCCTTTATTTTAATTTCCAACACATACCTACTAACTCTAATCTAAATCTATCAGTATTTGTTATAGGAACATGATAAAAAAATACTTCAAATAAGCCCACCTTTTAATCAAAAAAAAATTCATCCTACCATCAACTATTATTTAAAAGCCTAATAAAAAAAAGAAAGGCACCAAAAATGTAATGAAAACAATACCAAAAAGCTGGGGGAACAAAAGAGAGGCAAAAAAAAAAAACCTCAGAAAAAAAAAAAAAAAAGTGAAAAAAAAAAAAAAGATGGAGACCAAGAAACTAAAAAAAAAAAAAAAAAATATTAAAAAAAAATCAAATTAGCTGATAAATAACATGACTGCAGCCAAAGAACACTAAGACACCAAGGAAATTCAACAAAAAAAATTAAATTATCTGATAAATAATGTGATAGCAGCAAAAAGATGCCAAGATATCAACACTAACATACCAACACCAATATATGATAGCAAAAGGATGCCAAGATACTAACACCAATATACAATAGCAAAAGGATGTCAAGATACCAACACCAACATATGATAGCAAAAGAATGCCAAGATACCAACACCAATATATGACAGCAAAAGGATACCAAGATACCAACACCAATATACCAATACTAACATATGACAACAAAAGGTTGCCAAGATACCAACACTAACATACGACAACAAAAGGATATCAAGATACCAACACCAGCATATGATAGCAAAAGGATACCAAGATATCAACACCAACATACCAACACCAATATACAACAACAAAAGGATACCAAGATACCAACATCAACATATGACAGTAAAAGGATACCAAGATACCAACATATAACAGCAAAAGGATACCAAGATACCAACATATAACAGCAAAAGGATACCAAGATACCAATATATGACAGCAAAAGAATATCAAGATACCAACACCAACATACTAACACTAACATATAACAGCAAAAGGATACCAAGATACCAATATATGACAGCAAAAGAATACCAAGATACCAACATATGACAGCAAAAAGATATCAAAATACCAACATATGACAGCAAAAGGATACCAAGATACTAACACCAACATACCAATACTAACATATAACAGCAAAAGGATGCCAAGATATTAACACCAATATATGATAGCAAAAGAATACCAAGATACCAACATACAATAGCAAAAGGATACCAAGATACCAACATATGACAGCAAAAGGATACCAAGATACCAATACTAACATACCAACACTAACATACGACAGCAAAAGGATGCCAAGATACCAATACCAACATATGACAACAAAAAAATACCAAGATACCAACATCAACATACCAACACTAACATACAATAGCAAAAGGATACCAAGATACCAACACCCATATATGATAGCATAAAGATACTAAGATATCAATACCAACACATGACAATGTTAAAACAATACTAAAATATACAAAAAAAAGAAAAAAAAATTAGTAAAATGATGTATTTATTAAAATCATTATATCTATTA